AAAACACATTGTAAACTATGGATACCATTTCTGCAACTATGTTTAATATATACATAGACAATACTCTCTTTGTGTTCAACCTCAAGTCACTGAGTTACTTGCTAGAATTAGGGTAAGTGTTTTATAAATTTGTATACTTAGTTCCAATTGTTCATTGTTTGTTCTCTCGTTTGTTTGTAGTTTACTCTGATGATGTCAATAATCATTGACGAAAGCTTAGACCTTTAATTAAAAGCACATCGAACGAAGCACCCTAGTTTTATTTTGCTTCCTCAGTTATAAAAGGGTACTTCCCAGTATTATCTCCTTTTCACTATATATATATATATATATATATATATATATATATATATATATATATATATATATGTATATTATCGGATATTTACAGATTTTCAAATTAATATCCAAGTTTCACATCCAGTACTCACTATCTGTCGGATTATGGTCTTGTAGATTAGATCTCGTATCTTAGTCCTTCAATGTACGTCTCGTGATTTTTAAATATCTGGCTCATAGTAAAGTATGCTGTATTGGCTAGGATGATTCTTCTGCTAAGCTCTGCATCGTCAAACACAGATGTTGACAAACACAGATGACAACTAAATAGATAAACCTCTCTAATTTTTCTAAACTGTCAATTATCAGGTAGGGTCGTGTTGCTCACTCCGATCGGTGTTGTGCTAGGAGTTTAGTCTTTTTTGTATTTATTGAGATATCTATTGGTTTAGTCTTATATTTTAAAAAAAAATTGATTATTTTTATTATTCCATATAAAATTATAGTACTTCAAGACTATTCAAACCAAATTTGAAGTAAATTCGAGCAATATTCTTCTTCTTTAAGTGCCATCTCCGCAATGGAGGTTGGCAATCATTATGGCTATTCTGACCTTCGAGGCAGCTGCTCTGAACATTTGCCTTGAGCTGCAGCCAAAGCACTCTCTCAGGTTCTTCAACCAGGAAACGCGTCTTCTTCCTACGCTTCTCCTACCCTCTATTTTTCCTTGAATTATGAGTCTCAAGATGTTGAATCTTTCGCCTCTCATTACATGTCCGAGATATTACAATTTCCTTTCTTTTATTGTATTTTCCATTTCCTTCTCTCTGCCTATTCTCCGTAACACTTCTGCATTCTTGACTCTATCTACCCTTTGAATTCTTAACAATCTTCTAAATATCCACAATTCAAACGCGTTAAGTTGATTTATTGTATTCCGGTTTAATGTCCATGATTCAGCTCCAAAGTAGAGTACACTGTGTACATAGCATTTAATTAGCCTTATTCTGATGGTCAATGTCAGATCTTTGCTGCATAAAATATTTTTCATTTTCAAAAAGAATTTGGTTTTTTTATGTTAAGAGTCCGTATTCTCCACTATATCTTAATATTTTGTTCATTATTCTTTCTAAGTCTTCCAAGTTGTCGGCTATTATGACTGTATCGTCGGCATACTTAATGTTGTTAATTAAATTTCCGTTCACTTTTATGCCGACTGTCTCGTTTCCCAAAGCTTCTTGTATGATTTCTTCCGAATACGCATTAAACAATAACGGTTACAGTATGCAACCTTGCCTGACTCTTCTCTTTATCTCCACTTCTTCTGACACTTCTCCTTTAATTTTTACATTTGATCGTTGGCTGTAGTATAAATTTGATATCAATGTTACATCCCTCACATCCAAATTCTTATTTTTGAGTACTTCTATAAGTCGGTCATGTTTTACGTTATCGAATGCCTTGTTGTAGTCTATAAAGCATACATAAAGATCTCGATTAACATCCAAACATTCCATTCCGAAATCCAAACTGGGAATCACTAATATCCATCTCCAGCTTAGCGTGTATTCTATTATGGATGATTTTTAGCAGAGTTGTTAAGGTATGTGACATTAGACTGATCGTTTGATAATCACTACATTTTTTGGCATTTACTTTCTTTGGTAAACGAATAAATGTTGATGTCGGCATTTTACGTGGAATGATTACTGTGGAATAGATTGTGTTTAGTAGTTGGACTAAAAGATCTATGTTTTTTCATTGACCAATTTTAGCAATTCACTTGGTAATCCATCTGGATCAGCAGCTTTACTATTTTTCATGGACTGTACTGCATGATAACTTCTGACTTTGTTATTTCAGGTCCCTCGTCTTTACTTCGATTTTCTTCATATATATTTTCCTGTCTCTGGTCATGGAATAATTCCTCTATATATTATTTCCATCTTCCTAATTTTTGTTTCGTCTCCACTAAAATATTTCCTTGTTTGTCCAATAGTATGCTTGAGGTTTTTAGTTTTGCTGCCCCAGCTAATTATTTAACTTTCTTATGGAGATTGAAGTTATCATATTTGTTTTGTAAGTCTTCTATTTCTTGGCATTTTCCAGCGAAATAAATCTCTTTAGCTTCTCTTATTTTCCTTCTTATTTGATTATGCAGCTGTTGATACTGAGTTATGTTGATATTCTTTTGCCTTCTTCTGTCCTCCATCATTTCCAAGATTTCTTCCGTCATCCAATCTCCTTTTTTGGATCTGGTTGTTGTGAGTTCTCTGCGACTTGGTTCGATAATTACATTTTTAAAGAATTGCCACTGTTGTTCCACATCACCATCAATTGATTCCGGTGTGGATTCTAGGTTTGCATTAATTTCTTGTTTTAGTTTTTCTTTGACGTCTTCTGATTTTAATTTTTGTATGATTAGTTTATCACTTTTGTAGCTTTTTTGTATCTTTTTTAAATGAAGTTGGAATTTTTCTACAAGAGGATTGTGGTCTGACGCCACATCTGCACCTGGGTATATTTTCACCGATTGTATTGCGTTTCGGTATCTGTGGTTTATTAAAATATAGTCAATTTGGTTTCTAACGATTTTATCGACCTTGTCAGCTGGCGATTTCCAAGTGTAAAGGCGTCGTTTAGGCAGTTTAAAGAAAGTATTCATTACCGCAAGATTATGTTCTAGACAGAATTCTATAAGGCGTTCTCCTCTCTCATTTCGAACACCGAGTCCATATAGTCCTAGAGTGGACTCACATCTTCCTTCTCCAACTTTGGCGTTAAAATCACCCATTACTACGGTTATATCTCTAGATGTTGTATTTTGTAGGGTTTTTTGAAGGTCACCGTAAAATTTTTCAATTTCTTCCTCTGTTTTATCGGCGGTTGACGCAAAAATCTGAATAAGGTTTAATTTCCCATGTGTAGTCATCATTTGTATTAGCATAATTCTTTCCGATATTGGTATGAAGCTTACAACTGATTTTGCAACTTTTTTACTGGCACTAGAGTAGAAAAGTCGACCATTGGTTGTACTTAGTTCGCCGGAGTCGAGCCATCTCGTGTCACTTATTTCCAATATGTCGATCTTAAGTCGCATCATTTCTTGTTCTATGTTCCTTAGTTTACTAGGCTCATACATGCTTCAAACATTCCCTGTCGCCCTTTTAAAAGTTGAATTTTGTATTTTTAGTACGCAGGGATTTAGTTGGTTAACGACCTGAGGAGCCCTGTCATCATTGTTATTTCTCGCCCTGCCGAATCTTGGCATCCGAGAACCATGATTAGTACGGTGATGCTTATCACTAACTGCTATGACGATTTCTAGGGGTACTCTACCAGTCTTTAATGCAGTGGTTCCCCGTTGCCTTCTGCATCCTTATGCCGTTGACCATTCCTTGGTTCATCCGCCTTCGAGATAGATTTCTCTATCTTAGGACAAAAGAGTGCCCTTACATATACCAGCCACTGCGTCCGAAACCGTTGGCCAGTATTTGATTTGATTCTATATCAACTCTAAAATCGAGGGTTGCCACTTACGCCATTTGCGTCGTCCCGAAGTTTTACTTCTCCGCCGTGGCTGCCATTGTAGACTTCATCCCTAACCCTGGACAAGGGACCCTAAACAGGTACTAGTTTCCCGGGTCAGGAAACCACCGTAATCTGCGGAGGGCAGGGATTGATTCATTTTCCCTGATAGGACTATCTTCAAGAATTTAAAGAGTTCCTACCCGCTACCCGAGCAATATTACTTGAGTTATAGAGATTTCAATATCGCGCGGTGGAAACGTGCTCTCTCCGTTTAAAAACTTCAAACGCATTTTTCACGAATCTTTGTTTTTCTGTTGCGGTAGGCACGATTTCTTGAGAACGAATCAATCGATTTTGCTGAAACTTTGCACAGTTCATCTTTATAATATTGTTTCGTGACTGAACGTAGGGTTTTTTAATCCATCAACTCGTTATTGTTTTATGAAGCTTCTACTTATTAGATTCCGCTGATCTTCTAGTGTTTTTTCTCCATTTCCTCCATCAAATTTTTTTTGAGTTTCGGATCTTTTCAGTTTTCTGATCTAGAATTTTTTTTCTTAGTCGATTCTCCTTTTCCTGTCAACTGATCCTACATCTGAAGTGTACCTGAACTAGTAGGTGGTCTGAGCTGCAGCGTGCACTTCATCTGATTTTTTCATTCAAAACGCTTGTTGTTGATCGCTTTTCTATCAAGACGTGGTCTATTTAGTTCATAACATCTCCCCCAAGGGATATCCAGTTGCCTTTGTGTATGTTTTTGTGCGGAAATAAGGTAGAACTGATGACCTTGTTTATTAATTGTTTATTAATTATAAAGTCAATAGATGTTGACCGTTTTCATTCGTCTCTATCGAAAAAATACATCGATGTATTTTTTTTTCTTTCTTTGCGTTTGGGTTTCTTTACCTATGACTATTTTGATGCCGTTTTTTGGTGCTAGGTGATATATTTGTTCTAGTAATTGGTAAAAACCTACTTTGGTGTGCTCATCTTGTGTATTTGTTGTACATTGTTGTGTAGATCCATTGTAAATGTGTTGAACATTTATTATGGATCAGTTGGATAAGTTTTTCTATTAATATTTTATTATAATGCTAAAACACAATAAAATATAAGTATAGGAAATTATCTCCATTTATTACTTTCTACTTCATACTTTTTTTGGATTTTCATTCAAAACTTATTTTTAGATTTATATGCAAGAGTATATACTGATTTACTAGCCATACCAGTAGTTAAAGGTAGAAAAACAGAAAAAGAAAAATTTGCTGGCGGAGACTACACTCTAACAGTCGAAGCCTATGTGTCAGCTAGCGGAAGAGCTATTCAAGGAGCTACATCGCATCATCTAGGTCAAAACTTTTCAAAGATGTTCGATATTACGTACGAACATCCAGATAGTCAGGAGAAGACTCATGTATACCAGAACTCTTGGGGTATTACAACGCGAACAATTGGTAAGTACATTGAGATATAACGTGAATAGGTAATTTAATAAGCTGTAATTACTACAGGAAAAAATATTGTTAATATCGTTTTAAAACGCCTTTACGCGATGTTTTATTCCGCATGTTGATGCAGTTAATACTAGGTGCAACATTGTCTTCAAAAGCACCTCCTTTGTAACCCAACTCTTTTTAGGTATTATATTTATTTCCACTCCGTAAATCGTTTTCAAAAAAGATTATTTTATTTTATCTTTGTTAAAACTGACGTTTGACTTACTTGGCCTCGATCTTATAGACGTGTATTATCCTATACTTTTCTGATTATTTTGTGTTTTTGTATTATTTGCTCGTGTATTGTGGGTTTATGTATTGTGTGTTGTATATGTATTGTATATTTATTGTACGTGATACGTTTCTGACTTCAGTGCCTGCTACATTCAGTTGACGAGTTTGCTACACATTTTTCTTCATTAGGTAGGAGGAGAGCTGCTTTGATCTTTCTCTTTTTCATATCTGTTTCTTTCATGATTACTGATGTATCTTTCCAGTATACTCTGTGCTCATTGTCTCAGGCATGTTTACATATCTGTAATTTGTGAAAGTCTCTATTTTTCATGTATGTTTCATGCTCGTTTATCCTGACACTTAGTGGTCTTACGATTTCTCCCGCATAGAAATTGTTACATTCACAGTATATTTTATAGATTCAGTTCTTTGATCTCTCTTGTGTGTTGTTCGGTTTGGTTTTGCATAGGAGAGATATGTGTATTGGTTGATTTTTTGAACGTTGTTGTGAGGTTGTACTTATTTCTTATTAGAAATTTGTTACTAGACTTTTTTCTTCCTGAAATGCATTTTTGTTAGAATGTTTTGGGCTCTATCATGTTATGATAGTTTAATTAGATTATTTGATAGTTTAATTTTTTATGTTTACGTTGTGTTTTAAATGGCAATTTAAATATTAGTTGGTGTGGGTTAGTTTTCTGTAAACTTTGGTTGCATATCCTGTATCCTCTTTTGTGATTAACACATCCGGAAAAGGAAATGAATTGTTTTTGTGAATGGTGTCCATGGTGAATTTGATTGAACAGGCTCTGATTGCGAATATTAAACGAAGAAGTTAGTAACAATAATATACCAACATTAGCGGATTAATATAATATCGGCGATACATAATCTAGAATTATACATAATACATATACAAAACACAATACATAAAACACACTGCGCAAACGCATAATAAAAAAACACATAATTCAAAAACACAAAATTTGATATCCTGAGGGCACAAACACCACCCTCAGATTTTTTCAGTTAATTCATGGCTATTGCTTGTAAGATCGGGGTCAAGTACCCCGTATTTACGTATTAAATCTTTTCCTGAGTTTTTTGTGCTAATTTTTATCAACCCTTTTGGCTGAAAAATTCTGTAGTGATGCCATAAGTATCATATTTTATATTTTGTAAACCTTATAGGCAATATTTGCTTTGTGGTTTTGTTCAGTTTTAATTTAATATTAAAATTTTCAATTTTTATAGTTATTTATGTACAATAAATATGATTAGATAATACATATCTTGGATTATTTATCACAGCCAAACTTATTGTTCAGATTTACTTCTAAGAAAAGACGTTCTCATACCTGAGACTCTTAGCTAAACGAGGCATAATAATTGGCTCCCAAAGAAAGTTGTCAGTGAGTTTTATTATTCTAAATTGGCTCCCAACTTTCGGAGGTAGTTATATTGTTGCCCATTGGTACCCACCGTTTCAATGGTTACAATACTGAACTGTTATTATGTTTATTAATCTATTTTATTGTCTTTATTTCATTTATTTCACAATATTTATTTTCCGTCACAATTTAAACTCGATACGATTATATTTTCGGACTGCCTTGTTTTCAAATAAAATGTTCCATATATACTAAATAAACGTTATCTAGAATCCGGGCGAAGGATCGATGACCTCCGCAAGTAGAGTGGAATCCCAGACCAGACCGGTTCTTAGCGAAGGGTGACCCTAGAAATTTCTGCCTGCCTCGCTGGTATATGACTTAGAAAATACTTGAATGCAATAGAATTAGAAATAATATATTTACAGTTATGAGTCATAGTTATCGTAACATTGCCCCCTCTTCCAAGATGGTTTCTCCTGGAACCTTGTCGGGACTGGAACTGAAACGGTATGCTGGTATCGGTAACTGGACCCTCTTTTACAACTTCCAGTTGCATAAAAATGACAAAGGACGGTTTTCTTTACGCACCAGTAACTATGCGGATTGTAACAAGACTCACACCTGGACTTCGGTGTCTTTAAGGATCTCCTCCACCATACTTCGGATAACCCTCCAACCTAATTTGCGGCACTCCACCTTTGGCACGGCCAAGTTTTGCACGTCGTACTCTAGTACGTGCTCTCCAATTGAAGTAAGGCTTCCCATACATCTCGGTAGGTAGGTTGGTCACGGGCAGTGTCTTTTATTACCAGATAGAAAAGGTAACTTGATGCATCTTGGAATTTCAAGGCTTTCCCGGGAGCTGGCACTTGGCATTGAAGTTCTGCAACTCGACCGAACTTCCTTCGAAAGACGGATGCCAACCCTGGTGCGTCTTTGATACTGGCCGGGATGGTAAGGGCCAGTGAGTAGTCATCTGAAAGCGCGAGTAGATCTTGCTTTTCTTCAGTGGTAACACCAAGTGTTGCTTTACCGGTACCTCCATAGGCACCCATGAATTCCTCAAACGTGAGGTCAGATACATCTTGAACTCAGTTTAATTCCATTTCTTCATCTACGTCGTGGTCACCTTCGAAAGACGCCAGCCGGTTATGGTGTACTATCATTGGCTTTCCCCTCGGAATCTTGCTTATTCGGTAGATGACATCGTTGATTTTCTCCATAATGAGGTATGGACCTTCCCAAAACTGCTGCAACTTGGGAGAACAAACTTTTCGCTTCTTGGGATTATAGAGCCAGACTTTGTCGTTCTTCTTAAAGCACCCCTTTTCGGCTTGCGTATCCTACCGTTTCTTCATTCGGTCGCTAACGATCTGAAGGTGGGAACGGACCAACTCGTGTACATCGTCCATTCTTCTTCGTAGATCGATCACATAATCTTCACCTGCTACATCTTCTGCTAGTTCAGGTCGACACCCAAACTCTAGATCACAAGGTAGTCGCATCTCGCGTCCGAATAGGACTCTTTCTGGATCTGTAGACCATTGGGAAGAACGGAAGATATTGGTCCCAGTCTCGCTGATGATCGGACAGTGTCTTTGTCAAATACTTGCCAACTATCCTCTTCATCTTTTCTACCATACCATCCGATTGCGGATGATATGCTGTAGTTCTTGTTTTCTTCATGCCTAGTCTATCACATATTCCTTGGAACAGAACGCCTTCGAAGTTTCTTTTTCAGACCATCTGTTAACTCTTGCAGCTGATTCGAACTGTTTCATGTAGTTGTTCCATGACGATTTTCCATCGAAAGGCTGTGTTTCCAACTTACATTTTGTCCCTACTGTAATTGAATTGTTTCCTCTCTCTGCTGTCCATGTTTCCTCCATCTTCCTTTCCATATCTTTCATCTTTTCTTCGAACGCCAAGAAATTAGAGCCTAATTCTCTGTCCTTGAGATGTCTTCTTAAATCCGTTACTGTGAGCACATAAATCGTAGTCATTTTCACAATTTATTTTATATTTCACTTTTGACAATGGTCATTTATTTATTATCAAAGGTTATACATTTATAACACTTCCAAGTTTATTAAAGTCTTTATTAATTTATATATTCAATATTCACTAATTTATTTCACAATATTTATTTTCCGTTACAATTTAAACTCGATACGATTATATTTTCGGACTGCCTTGTTTTCAAATAAAATGTTCCATATATACTAAATAACCGTTATCTATAATCCCGGCGAAGGATCGATGACCTTCTCGAGTAGAGTGGAATCCCACGCCAAACCGGTCTTAGCGAAGGGGGACTCTAGAAATTTCTGCCGGCCTCGCTGGTGTATGATCGAGAAAAGACTTGAATGGAATAGAATTAGAAATAATATATTTACAGTTAGGAGTTATATTTATCGTAACAATACTTTTCGCACACATTTTAAAAGAATCTTTTTTTAAAACGATTTCTGTAATGGAAATCGAAAGTCAAACAGTAGTTAAAAATGTAATTTTGATTACAATTAATTGTGGCTTAATCTAATATAAACATAATATTTTACTTAGACTTGCCACAAAAAAGTAGTTTCAGGACCTTTTTACCTGTTTTTATATACACCAAGATCCTAGAGTTATTTCTTCCTCTAGATCATATGCTTAACGCACGGAATGTAAAAGTAAATTGCTTTAAAGTTGTAACATACATTTGTTTTCGTAGGTGTAGTAGTAATGATTCACGGCGACAATCAAGGGTTGGTTATACCCCCACGCGTGGCCGGTATACAAACTGTCATTGTACCATGTGGTATTACTGCCAATCTATCCCAAGATTCTCGTAAAAAATTGCAGTCGTCCTGTGATGTATTGGAAACCGACTTAAAAGCAGTAAATATACGCGTTAAAGGAGATTACAGAGATAATTACTCCCCTGGGTGGAAATTCAACCATTGGGAACTTAAGGTAATTTTACACAGTTCTGTTTAATTTATATATTTATATCATATATGTATGATGGACATGAAATGGTCGGTCAGTCAACATTGTTCATTGAAGAAAATTTGATCGAACAGAAATTTAACATATTGACACATTGAACATATTTTTTGATGACACTATAGGCTATTTAATATGTACTGACAGGAATTAGTGGTTTCATTGTTTCATTAGCTACAGTACTACTGATAGGTTGTCGTTAGTGAGCTCCGAGTACATAAGTAATTATTATAACGAGAATAAAAACTTTAAAAGTTAATTAGTGAATATTGTTTTTGTGAATGCTAAATGTAAGATGCAGCAAGTGAAACTATTATTATTCTAATATGTAAGTTTGTTTTTATTATAAACACTTTCACTTGGGAATATTGCTAATAAATTAAACAAAAGTTACAAAAACTGACAGTAATTAAAATACACAAATAAATATTATTATTTGTAACTGTATTTCTTAAACTATTTGGTGGATAATGAGCAATTTCGACTGTGACATCTGAAACACCGTCTTGTGTCTCTTGAGTTTTGTTAGATAAACTCCGAGCAGAAATCAGTAAACAATCTGCAGACTTAAAAAAGTCCATATTACAAGAAATCAAAGATGAAACACGAACACTGGCCAACAAAATAAATAAAACAGTAAAGTATCTTGAAGAAAAACATAAAACAGTGCTTGACAGATGTATACAGTTAGACAGGCAAATGAGAAAAAATAATATACTGATATATGGAATAAATACACCTGAAAACGGAGATATAATTGCAGAAGTACTTAACTTGTTCCACGAGGTGCTTAAAGTCGAAGTGTCAGTTTGCGAAATATACAATATTTATCAAATAAAAATAGGAACTAAAAACGCAGTTAAAGTTGAATTTCTATCTTGTCTAAAGAAAAATATAATACTAAAAAACTGTAGTAAATTGCGTAATACCAATATTTATATAAATCACGATCTATGCTACGAGGATAGACAAGACCAAAATCTTCTCACTACACATCTTAAACTAGCAAGAGAAAAAAAAAATTTATGCTAAAATTCGTGGCAAATACTTAGTCATAAATAATGAAAAATACTCTGCCAAAGACTTAAGAAATATGGAAAAGGATGAAAATGAAGATGATGTTCAATCAGAAAAACCTAAACCACACGGTGCACCAGAAACACCAACACCAAATTCTAAAACATTTTTTGAAGACAGCATCTCAGAATTTACCTTAACTACGCCTAAGAATTCATCACAAAAAGAAGAAGCTGCCTAACAACAAAACCTTAACCTGATAACTACACTGACTGAAAAACTGACAAAGGAATCAGATACTGATAAAAGTAAATCAGAAAAAAAGAATTCGGAAAAGAGAAATATTGTAGACCATAAAGAAGTACTAAGAGGAGTGGAGAAGAACAAAAACGAAGATAGACACGAAGAAGGAGAAAAGCCAAAATCAAGACACAATTCTACTTCAGGTAACAAAGAAAGAGTTAATACTCGGTAGCAAAGCAGTAAGTGCTAGAATCATGTAAGACAGTTATTTTTTTTCTTAGGCATTTCACTATCAAATTTTTTTTAGTTGTTGTTATAGTATGGATCCATACATTCGTGATGTAGACTACATTCCTGTAATTACTCATAAACCTAAAGATATTGAAGATTTTAATAAGTTAATTGCGGATTTTTATAAAGGTAAAAATAATGAAAATTTTACCATTTTACACCAAAATATTAGAAGCCTTAATAAAAATCTAGATCAGTTACGATTAAATATACAACAGATGACACTTGATTTTGACTGTATATGTCTAACTGAAACTTGGATTATTCCTGATATATTTCAAATAGATAATTATAACATTTTATATAATGAAGGAGATATAAATCAAAATGATGGTGTCATTGTATACATAAAAAAGAATTTAAGATTTACGTGGAGGGTTGTAAACATTAGTGTATGTAAGGTATTAGAGATAACTATATTAGGTAAATATAATCAAAATACAATATTAACATTAATTTATAGACCGCTATCGATGGATGAAGAACATTTTTGCATTGGTCTGGATAAATATTTAGAGAGCACTAAAAATGATATTTGTAAATATCATGTTTTATTGGGCGATATTAATATTAATATTAAAAACATGGCACCAGATTCTTCTGAGTATCTAAGTATATTGAGTGAACATAATTTTTTATCAATAATAAATAAAAATACTAGAGTTCAGGGCGATTCTCGAAGTTGTATAGACCACATTTTTGTAAAAAGTAAGTTTTGTATTAGTAATAATGTTTTACCAGCTGTTCTGGATCTTTCCGTGACTGATCGTAAAGCAACATTTGTAAGTTTTTCTTTTGAAAAAAATAAAGAATGCAAAATTAAGTTTAGAAAATTAGTTAATTATGATGATTTAAAAAGAGATCTTAGTTTTCAAAATTGGGATCTCTGTTCTAATATGAATAACCCTAATGCTTTCTTAAATAATTTTACCGACACCCTTATTTCATTAATCAATAAAAATACCAAAGAAATAGGGCAGTCCAACACAAAACCTCAAACCGATCTGTCAAAATGTCTGGAGGGCAAACAATGGATTGAATAGCAGTTCGATTTGCAGTAATAGACAAATATTTAATTGTAGTTATCCAAATATAATTAGGAGATGACCTAACAATTGATAAAAAGCAATTTTCTTTAATATAATTCTTATTCACATTGATTACATGAAGATAATTATAGTTTAATGAGGTAAGTTGAAAAGTTCATAATAATTTAGTTATGTCGTTTAACGACCACAATTATTATCAATATATCCTTATAATGATTGATAAGAATTTACTTTTATATATTAGCATATTCGGCATATCGCTAATATTTCTCAGTTATAGATTTAGCTTCATTTAAACATTTTAGTGTTAACACAAAATAAGCTGCTGAAATTAAAATAACACGTTTTTATCAATAAAATTTTAACATTTTTGAACTAAGTGAGACTCAAAATATTTTTTATAATATAGTAAAGACATTTACACTTTTTTATTGATAAGAAACCCAACTGTTTATTAATTTGATGACTGTTATTTTGTTTCAGAAATGGATCAAAGTCATTACTTCAATAACTTGAAATTATGATGTAGCAAGCAAATATCTAGAGAAATTAAAACTAATTAACGACATAGATCCATGTACTATTTCAGAAATTGAATTAAGTTACAATCCAAATGATTTTGCGTTGAGCACCAGTTTTTATACACAACATCAAATTAAAGCTTACAAAAGCCTGCAAGCATATTAATGCTTTGAAGCAGTAATTGTGGGTCAAAAGTTGTAAATGACCAGTGACATTAGGGAAAGTGAGTATAGCATTTGAGGAGCAAATATTTTATGCTAGTTGTTACAATATATTAACTTGTTCTTTTATTGTTACAGATTAAACATTCACAAAAAATGAACGAGCCACATTCACTTCTAAGGGTGCTTAGAAGTGCAATGTTCTTATTTATTAAAAGATATGTCAATAGCAGAGTTCATAAACTTACCTTCATTATGTCTTATTAGAAATCCTGATGGAGAAGTTTGATTAAATAGACAACACAAATATCACTATCAAATGGCTCTCTCCAAGTTTACTATTGTCATTTTGTAATATGATCTCCAACTGAATTATATCATGAAAAAATGATGTGTAACGAAGAATTTTGAAAATTTTACATGGAAAAAGCAAGTTTTTCTCATAAAAACTTATAATTCCAGAGTTACTTTGGAATATTTTAGCAAACTTAACATGGTGTACATGTAAAGGCATTGATGATGGCCAACCAATGATAAAATGAAAACTGCAGTATTTCTTGGTATCACTTTAAATGTGTGAATCTCTTAGAGGTATCTACTTACGAGGTACTTTATGGTTTTATGAAGCTTGTTCTCCTTAGATATGGAATCTTTGATTTTTACTGTGTCAAGTAAATTTTTTGTTTGTAAATATTAAATTAATAATTTTTAAAATAAATAATTAAATTATCAATAAAACGTAAATATAGTAAATTTGTTTCTCAATTTATTTTTTTAATGTTGGCGTTATCTTTATTTGGTTGCATTTTGTATTAGAACATAATATGGTATATAGTTGTGAATAAAACAAATTCAAAATAAATGTTTTTTTATTACAAATGTATCAAAATTATATGTCATAGAAATTGAATAATATCATTTGTTAAACAATAATAACAATATAATAATGGTGCAACTGTTTCCATTCTGTGAGTATCTTAAAAAAGGTTTCAAATTTTAAAGCAAAATGCTTCTTTATTCATCAATTACAAATTCCAAAATAATAAAAGTACAATTTATTATGATACTTTGAAAATGAGAGAGATTAATATGCTTACATTACACTTTAAGTTTAAAAAAATAAGGAAAAAAACAAGAATCAAACTATATGAACAGAACTGAATGTACATACAAGTTGAGAGTATAACTAATAATGGCAAACTAAAAGCATATATTATATAAAAGCATATATTAAGGAAAGGAATAGGTAATTGTAGGACATATATTTATAAGTGCACAACACAAGAATACTATTTGGTCTAGTAAAGATTGTTCTTCGCCTACCATTTATTAATGTCATCGGAATAATTTGCTGAGTTATTCTAAATTTATTTCGGATCATTCCAATAATTCTTTCTACATGAATCCTGAGATGTTCGATCGATTTAGTTTCTTCCAAGTCAACTGGATGCATTTGGGTTTTTTTCTTCCTAAATTCAGGAATTTTTACTGACGCATGAAATAATTTCACAAATTCTTTGTTTAGGAATCTTCTGTTAGCCATAATCACATTCCCTGGCAGCAAATTGTTCACAAAATCAGATTGAATTTAATTTAAAGACTATGTAAACAAACCTTTTAAACTATTTTTTTCAGTTTCACAACAGAAGTTTTTTTGAAAAACTCCTAAGCTTAAACATTTTGG